ACAAGTCTATTGAAATATACCTTAAATAAGGCACCTCATTCACCTTTATCTCTAAAGCCTGCTAAGTGATTTTAGGGAGAGGTAGTAGAATTAGCAGTGATCTCTCTCATTTCTTCATTTGAAGAAATAAATGCTAATGAGAGATGATTCTAAAACCAGTTATGGCTGTGTGGCTAGTGCAGTGCGGCTTGTGCAGCTTTGGTGAGAAACTTGTAACCTTTAGCATTTCCATTAAATTAGCATGCAGGGATGTAAACGTGGAAGCCTTCACAGAAAGGGGAAAAAGTGTTTATTTCCAGCATATTTAAAAATATGAAGCCATCTGTTAAGCATTTAGAGGACACAACTATGGGAACTACAGGCAACAAAAACACAGCTATGACCACACTTCCAACAGCATTTCTCATCCACATTCTCCGGATGTGGCCTAAGTATACATCCAGCGGCTAGACAAGTGGTGATAACATTTGTTTTCTCCTCTTCTCCACCAGTCCCAAGATTTTATGCAAACATGAGCATTTTTTTTGTTAGAGTGCAAAATAGGCATTTTGTGTTATTACTGGTATTTTTAAATATTAATAATCTACTTGACATCAGTATGGATTCATATCTTCATCTAGCTCTTTATAAATTTGAAGTGAGGGTTTTTTTAAAAAAATCACCTTTAAAAAAAAAATCAAAGTAAGGACTGACAGGAGTGGAGGAAGTACAAAGCCACTCCAAGCTTCCCCTGCCAACCTGCCTTAAATCTCTTCTAAAAACTGCACAGCTGAACAGGCACTGGGGAGACCAGGGGCAGTTGCTCCAATACTGACATTTCAAAAGCACCCACAGGATTTAAACATCTTCTACAGCATGGCAAGTAGATAGGCCAACATTCCAGATTTTCTGGCTTTCTCCTTCCATTCCCAGTAGAAAGAGCAGCAACAGCAACTTTTGTACATGTCTCGGTGTTAAGCAGACACCGCCAGAAACAGAGCTACTGGGACATCACCACAGAGATTTGCCAAAGCCGAGATTAATGAGCACCATATTTGAAAAAGCAGTATAAGGGCCCAGGGCAATGAAGACCAGAACATTTTTACTTCATTGACACGGAATATTATCTGGCCTTGCCAACCCTCACACCTCAATGCTTTCAAGCTGACTGACTTAGGACGGTGCCATTCATTAGTGAAGAGCACACCAGGATCATTTAAAGTGGAAGCAGAATTCAGGATAGCAAGGTAACATTTTCTGCCATCACTCGAGCTGACAGCCTAAGGACCAACGTTCCCAACTACGTTATCAATCGATAGGCAGCAGCTTGAGGTCAGTTAGCTCCACAAAGGCCGTTTAGCTACAGTACTTGGCAAAGACATCATCCTTTAAGAGAAAGCACATCTGCCCAGAGAGAAGTGAATGAGTTCCCTTCTCTGATCCATTCACTTCTCTCTAGATTTCTTTAACAGCCCTTTAGAGGCACAACAGAGCACAGTCAAATCTCCCTGCGCTAAGTTATATATGCAAACTCAGAGCAAGAAAAAACATGAACTCGCAATGAGCAATCAGCGCATTCTGCTTCACTTGGTACTTCACAAAGATGTGGTAGGAACTCTAAAATATTTTTTACGACCAGGCACTTCTACAGCTAACCAGTGCTGTAACAGTTATTAAATGCAATTAATGACAGATTCTCCTTAATGTCCAAGAAATCCCACAGCAAAATGACGCATTTGCCTGATTTAAGAGGAGCCTCTCAGCCTCAGAGATGCTCTCTCTCCCTCTTCTCCAGGGACCTGCAAAGGTGTGGCTGCTCAAACAGTGGGAAATGTCAGATGTTACTGCAGCATGACTAACTTTTTATAGACATTATTAAAAATTAAAAAAGATCCTGCAGTAATCACTTTTGTCTTCCATTTTACTTAAGTCTCAACACCACCGGCTCTTTTAGCAGCCATCAGCAAGAACATTTTTGCAATTGTAAGACTTGCCAGAACTTAACCCTTTGAATATTAATGGAAAAAAAAGTGAGCAAATTTCTAAAAACACAAGCAATTCTACCTAGAAAAAGGCTTTCCCACTACATTCACCCTTACCAAATTACACCTCCTGAATCAATGATAGAAAGTGAACTTCATGGCTTGACCCAAGTGTTTAAAAAAGGGACTCATGCCTCTGGATCAGGCCTATACCTGTTTTAAGCAAAATAATCTGTATTAAGAATAATTGTTTTAAGAAAGAGATGTGTTATACAGATATATTTATGCTAGACAATTATATCTTAAATGTCATTAGGCTTCTGAATATCAGATTCAATTTTAGTAGCTACTGAGGTCACATTCCTCAGACACAGGGATTAGAATAGCACAAACTCAAGTCACAGGCTTAGTTGTTCCTGTCCAGTTCAAACAGGCAGAAGTTTTTCATAATATCTATCAGTATCCCTCAGTAAAATATGAGGGCACATCTCCCTTGCTCTAGGAAACCCAACCCATCTCTCTCTGTGACTAAGCCATGAACTTGAAATTTCCTTTCTCTTTCACTGCATGTATCCAAGCCAAGGCCAACACTATTTCTGAAGCTTTTGTTTCTCTTGAGGAAGCTGCAAATTCATGTTGCTATTGTTTGTCAGGAACTTTCCCTCCCACTTCCAGCCTGACCTTAAATTGATCAGGTGTTTTCTGACAGGAAGACACTACCCTGACCTCAAGCTGAGTTATAGGATTAGTATTACGTACACACGCCCACAACTTCAAGCCATTTAAATTCTCCAAAAATGTTTTTAATCCAGAAGAGATTAGATCTTCAATATATTCCAGAATTAACCTAATATGAATATTTTAAAAGCTAGTTAAAATTACGTATCTCAGATCTTAGATAAAGTTTTCTTTGCAATTTAAGAGACACATACAGATATGACATTATACTAAGTAATGAGGTACAGAACTCAGTTACTGCATAGGTGACATGCCATACTGCTCCCAAACTGCTGGGTCAAACGTTGCACAGCTTTATATGAAAGAGGAGATTATCATCAAGATCCTGAATTTGCCCTGAACGCAGGGCTGTGACAAGCATAAACAAATTCTTCACACAGTATCATCATAAAAACATGACTTTAAGCTTGGTCACATTGAACATTTTCAGGACCAAAACTAAAGAATGATCAATTCCCATAACCGTTCTACTTAGGTACAGTACATACAGTCAGATTCAGTTCACATATGCAAGCACACAGTTACAGAATATATAACAAGACTTACAGCATAGTTCTGGGACTAAAAAACCCCACACACATGACTTAAGCCCACTATGGAAGGTCTCAACTATGATTTCCTAATGAAATCCATCCCTGTGTATTTTAGTTCTGCCTTGCTTTATGAGATTGGTTAAAAACAACAGTTAGGTCAACAAGTCTAAAAAAAAAAATGACAATTCTAAATCACTTTTTCCCCATTCCCACCCCCTTCCCAAGTCTTATCTCTTCTTGTATGTAGTTAGAAGTTATGTAATAATCTCCAAGATAAAGAAGTCTCCTGAATCAAATTTTGCTTCCAACACCTGAAGGACAAGGGTGTTGCAGAAAGTATAGGAAATAACATAGGCTCATCTCCTGCCCTCCCACAGGCCATTTTCTTGCAGACTTCTCATATGGTCATCGGAAAACAAAAAAACCCCAAAACAATTATGATCAAATTAAGCTTCTTCTTTGAAATCCCAAGTCGCAGAAATCCTATTAGCATCTCCAATCCCATCAGCAACTCCCATGCTCAACACCCGAGACATAGGTCAGCTGTGTTTAGATAAACCTCTTGCACATCCTCTCAAAGCTAAACTATGGCAGACAGCTACAAACCGTAGACATTAATTCCACATTACTTTCAGAAATTCATCTCTTTTAAACTTTCCTGAGCAAATCCAGAAGTAGAAGCAACAGTGGCAGTAACGCTATCAGTACACAGCTCTAAGACAACAAATGACATCAAGAGACACTACTGCAGTTGTATCTCTTATGCATCCTTACATCTCTGCTGTATTTTGAAGGCAAGAATAATACATAATCTCTTCTATGCATGCAGGAGATGAAGTGCCCAGGATAAGTAAAGACTATTTATATCAACTACTACACCTTAAATTTCAAGACCACATTTGACATACAAAACCATTTCAATAGACAAGTGTTTAAAGTCTAGTTTATACTGCACTGCAGTTAAATTTGGCAAAAACTGTGTAAAAGGAAACAAAAGGACAACTATCCCTTTCAGTAAGGGGTACCAATATACACCAAGGTGCTCATACAGAAGTTATTTATGCAACTGAGTCACTCCCTATGGCTTTTCAGCAGAACCCAATATGTATGCAGGCCTATCAAAGCGCTCAGCTGTCCCTAAAGCCATTTCAAGGGAGCTATTACAACCCTGAAACATCGAGAGGTCAGCTCAAGGACATTATTTAGGAGCACTGTTTGCCAGGCTCCAAAGCCATTCCCGCACTTGAGTCTGTTATAAAGGAAAATGATCAAAACAAACAACTAACACCAGAAGGAGGTGCCTTGAAGATATGTACAAATTTGTTTTTTCTTAATTAATACTACTTTGTTTTGTGGTTGGTTTGACAGCACTAAAAGTAGTTCCTTATAATTTTCTAAAGGCAGCCCCTTTGAGAGAGGGTAACCTGTTTTAAACAAGTTCTATACCCCAAAAGACTATTCTAATTTCAGTAACCCTAGAGGGGTCGGGATGCACAGCCTTTTTGCTACACAAACCTTCATCTGCTATCACTGCCTTCAAACACAATTTCCTCCCATTTTCTAAGAGAGAAAAAGCAGCCTCTGGCCATGAGGGATAGAAAAGGTAGCTGCACTGTTTCATAAAGAAAGCATGGCTGAAAGTGCTTTTATACAGACACAACCGCCTTTCCATTTCCTGTGGCAAATTTAACAAAGTCACCAGCTTCTGCACTATCTGGAACAACGTAACGATCACCATAAACCAACTACTAGGGAGCAGAAATCTTACCTGATAATAGGTCTTAATGCTTCTGACCAAGATGGTCAAGTTTTGAACGCGAAGATAAATGTCATTATTTACATGCTTGTTAACACGTTGGTTGGTTGGCCGAGGATCTCTATAAAAAAAATATATATATATATATATATTTAGTTCCCTTGGTAGTAAGAGTTAATATCCTGACAATGCACCATTAGGAAGACTTTTAACCATTTGTGTATTAAATGCACTGACATAATTACACACAGTGCACATTAATTCCAAACCCAAAAAGCACATTACCTTTATATCTATATACAACTTGAAAATCTTTCCAGTGTACCACCAGACAACTAGTTCGGGTAACCCACACAGTAAATCATGGCAGCTTCCCTCCTTATTTCCTTGAACCAAGAAGTATATTTAGTTTGTGTGCACTAGACCATGTTCAGTCTCTGAGAACAAAGATTTTATCTTATTGGAATAAACGGAAGCCTAGGAAAGATTACCATATACTGGCTTTAAGGAGCGCTTATCACTTACTTGTGATAAGTCCATTATTCAAACGGCAAAAAAACCCCAGATACACTCTGTACTTAAGTGGTGAAGGGAAGACTGCACTTCATCATACCTATATCATGTTATCACACAACTCTCATATGCCGAGTATTTACTGAAGAACAGTTCTCACTCTACAAATAGAATATAAGCATGGGTGCACGTACACCCATTAGAAATAAAGTGCAAAGATTAGGGAGACGGAAGGCAACTAATATTTAAAATGAAACTAAGCAAACCAAAACTGTACTCAAAGAAACTTTATTTCCTAGGAAGGGAGAAGGTGGAAGTCAACGGCAAAAAGCTGCAAATGATTAATATGAACATGTACCTTTAGATTCCACGTATGCCCTGCAACATGCTGCAAAAGTAGTTGTCTGAAAACCTTATCTGCTAGTATCATAGATCAAAGCCATGCATTTCCTCTATAATAAACTCTATCAAAAGACTCCTACGCAATCCAAACACTTGCCTCCCAGAGCTCTCCTCTTGTTGTTAATTAAGCCATTCACAGCTCTTTCGAGGCCAAATGCTGAACTTGAGTGTTGACAGCGAAATAAAAGAGGAAATGATCCAGTATTTCATTTAAAAATGTATCTGACAAAGTTTACAGAAGTATGCCAAGGTTTTTTTTTTTTTTTTTTTTTTAAATGCAGAATCATCCCAAAGCATCTAATGAAAGCAATGGTATGTACATAAATACGACGGTGTATGTAGATATTCCCCAGAGATAGTGAGAGAAGTGGGCAGAAGATAACATGAGACACTATCTATGGAGTAAGGCTTCAAGCAAACAGAAGCACAGAAGTGATCACACAAACAGCAGTGATCAAAACTCTCCCAACAGAAGCCAGTAGGACTCTCCCCGGCTTTTGGAGCAGCAGTGGATTTTGTATACCACTTATCACATCCCGAAGAGGCAACTGCAAGAAGCTTTTAGAGTACAGATAGTAACAGGTATGTAAAGTTTCTGATGTCTGCTTTTACATTAAAAATTCTGTCTTACTGATGCACAGATACGACAAAGTGGAAGCTACACATACCAATGCAGTTTGATGACACGGCTCTACAGCAACACAGCAAACAGCGTAAAGGGCACCTGGGCTTGAACTTTGAGATCCTGGAGTACCCTCCTCCAAGCAGATGGTGACAAGCCTCAGTGCTGCAGCAAGGCAAATCTTAGCCTCTGTAGGCAAACTCATCCCAATGAGCTGGGAAGCTAAGAGGGAAGGAACTTGCAATAAAAAGCTGACTGAACAGTTGGGGCAACTTAAAACTCCTTTTTACACACAAATGAGCTTCTACACCCAGCAAGCAGCCATAACACTGTCACACACTGACTCTGCTCTAGAGCCGGGAAGAAAAAGGCTTTAACTGCTTGGCAGTGGCTGCTTTAAATGATGAGGGGGATATATTATATTTTATACATTATATATATAAAGCTATTTCTACACATACAACCTACACATTGCCTGTTAAAAACTAAGCCACTGCTATGTAGTAGCAGTTCCACTTAACCTCCTCATACTGCATGCAGTGTGGAGATAACTCAAAATCCCCTTTCCCTCGCAGCTCCTCTGCCTCCTGACCCTTGCCAGCTTGCTTCCTTTTCCCCAGAAGCTTTCCTACCCTTGAAACCCATCCTTCCTACTTAATTCACTGCCTCCAAAACCCTTTGCCTCTGCCCCTGAGTGCAGAGTGAGGCTGTGCGCACAAAGCCCTTCTACGGGTCACAGCACCACTGCAACCACCATTCAAACTGTGAGATGTACCAGAAGCAGGACTGGGAAAAACGAGGCAGGACTGGGAAACCTGCCAAGTTCCCAGTTCCCCAAGAGCTTGCTTAAAAACCCAACATACCATTACCCTCCCCCCAAGCTCACACAAAACAGAGCACAAATACACAAAGTACAGCCTGGCCAAAGCAAAGTGGAGGCAGCTTCTTCAATACTTCTAGACAGACCTTGGATGAGGGTGTATTTTTTTTTGTTCGTTTTTGTTTTTAAAGTACATAGGCCATGAAGCAAGTCCTGTCTTGCAAGAAGGGTTTTTCTGTCTTTTGCCACAACAAAGTCATAAGTTATCTGTTCAAGGGCACAAGCATTTACATGGAAGGACTCCTAGAAACAGTTCTGAAATTTTTTCATTAAAGGTAATTGATTGCTCTAGTACCTTCAATTCCATTGACCGCAAGTTCCTGTTAACCTGGAGCCAACCTGCCATGCCACATTATCCTATAAAGCCTGCCTTCTCCTCACAGGCATAGAAGAGAGCCTTCCTAAAAACATTATCCAGCCTGAGAAATGACACATCAAATTGATGCACCTTAGGTTACTTCAGGGAACACCCTTTGCAACAGTAAACAAGTAATCCACCACAATCTCTGCCCGAATCCAACTAAAAATAACTGAACACAACCTTACTGTGATTTTTTTTGGTCTATTGATGGTTCATCTTTCTCTTAAAAATAAATATATAAAAATTGCACATTTTTTTTAAAGTAAATGTCTCTTATGATCAAAGAATTTCTCTAAAAAGAACTAAGGTGTAACTGAGGGCAGTCTTCCACAAACAAGCAAAAAATAGCCAGACCAAATGGCCAGAAGTCTCAAACTTTACTATACATAGCCATTTTAAAGAGTATCCCGATTTGTACGCCATCCTTATGGGCTTGGGGGTTGAAGGCAGGGGAAAGAAAAGTGTGTTTAATAAATAAAGCTGAGTCACAAGTTTAGAATGCAGAGGGCAAGAAGCACAACTGCTTGCATCAATTAATAAAATAAAAATTAAAAAAAGCAGAAAAAATAAGTTTTCTAAATTCAAATTGACAATCCTATTTAAGCAATTTCAGACAACTAACATAGACAAATAATGGGGAAGCCCTTGAAGTGGCCCAAGGATGATTGTGTGTCAGAATAAATCAGTTTTACTAGGTGTTTCTAACACTTCATGGCCCTTGGCTACTGCCTGCCCTCTGTGCTGCAGGTAACTCACTAACTGAAAAATGTACCACTAAAGAGACCTTGATCACTCTGCCTTATTCATCCTCCTCCTCCTCTCATATTAAAGGGAGTGAAGCCATTTAAGGTGAATTTAAGAAGGATTGCATTTTAAACTGCCTCAAAAATGGTAAAAAATAGATACTTATATGTAGTTTTAAGCAACAGTATATTTAAACAAATACATATCTTTAAATCTCCATTACTCATGATGTTTGCTGCAGCCCAGAAGCAACAGAGATGAACAGCTCAGCAAATCCTGCCAAATGCTCTAAATCAAAGATGAAAGACTGAAAATACCACAAACTATGACAACTGTCTTCAAAACTGGAAAACCTTCATTTGTGATTTCTTATTGTGTGGCTTAGGTGCAAGTTGTCATTCTTGTATTTGCAGAATGTTTTAACAGAAATTCAAAATCCACAGAGGCCAACATGAACAGTTGTCTGCATGTATATAGTCCTATCACTTTCAGAATAATCTCTCTCTATAGAAAGAGAAGCAAGTAAATATTTGCCTACAGTAATAAATACTATACCCCAGCTGCAACTGTAATGCTGAAAGCAGTCAAGTGTCACCACGTGTTAGTTTCATACCAGGAAGTGACACACAACCATCTAAAAACTTCTTCAAAGTTTTCCCACAGAAAAGCACATAATTTCCCATGAAACACAGAAGCTCAGAACACAACAGTTGCACCGTGAAGATGACTAAACGCTGTTGTATGCAGAACATCAAGACATAACTGCAAATCTGCAAGTGCTATCAGGTTAAGGTGTCTACAGAACACACAGGAAACGACTCATTTACACCAAAATAAGTTGAAGAGAGTTGTCAATTTTGTTTAAATTGAGTAGGAATATAATGCTGTTGTCTGCCTCTTCCTTTTGGACTTAGCTAGCTAAGCACCACAATTCAGAGACAAGTAATCCCTAAATATCTTAAAAACAAATAAACAAAGCCACAGTTTCTTAGGTATCACCTAAAAAGCTGTGCAGCAAATCCCAGCAGCTAGTTATCCAGTGACCAGACCATGGCATTTCCCTCTTCTGCCCTTTAACAGCAGCCACATTTGTTGTGCCCAAACAACACATATTTTGTTCACTGCTACAGTTCCTACGAGCATTTCTTTTCTAGAAAGGGGAGAGGAAAGACAGCACCCCCTCACACACACCTCCTTTCACATAGCCTACAAGGGACCCAACATCCTGCGCAAACGATACACACTACATGCATCTCAGGAGGACGGGATCTTGCTTCCATCAACATGGCTATTTAAAATACATTCACACCATCGAGCAACAGAGAACCTCTGCACCCATTCTAATTTGTCAGGGAGCATTGAACAAAATCCAATTATTACTATGGGAACTAGAGACTCAACTAAGCAAAGTCCATTCGACATCTCAAAAAGTTAAAGCTTTACTTTTATCCCGCAATCTCAGCATAGGTCTATCCGGATTCCTTCACAGGTAAGACACTGCTTTATAGTCATGTCTTTAACTTTAAAAGATTTTCAAGTAGTTTACACACTTTATGTTTAATAACAGCATTTTAGCCACTTCTTTTGAAAACTTTGTCAAGAGAAAACTGTTCATCTCAAGCCAAGTATTGCATCACATGGTAGCACAAAAGATTTTCAAAATCTGACCTGCTGTTTCAGTGTAAAGTCACATATCTGGCTATTTGTGCTCAAATAAGCAGGCAAACACATTATTTACCCTGAAAAGCTAAGAAGGAAATAACAAGTGAGTAATAAGGCAGCCATCCACAAAGGGGATCCAACCACTTTACTCCATTACCCCTACTTACTGCCTGTGTGTGCATGCACACGTGTGGCTTTCGGCCATCGCCTTTCCTGCAGCGTGGCACGTCAAATTCTATAGAGTTGCCAAAAGCCTTCGTTAATAAGACTTCAGGAGGAAGAGATCTTAAGACAAGCATTGAAAGACAGCTTTAAGGACCAGGACTTGGAGAACTGATGAGTAAGCACTTTTGAAACATTTATTTTTCTTTTCAGAAGGCTTTGTTGGGCAGAAATACCCTGTGAAAGGCTTTCACAATTTACATATACACAATAATTGCATTGCAAGTTCTAAAGGCTGACTCAACTGAAGCTTGTAGACAGCACCTCTCCCAAGCACCCTGCTGAGCTGGAATACACAAATACAACTGTGATCTTAAACAGTTTCAAGCTCTCTGCAGAAAGGTCTTCGTTTCAAGCTCCTAAGACACCATCAGAAGCACTGCCACAGCTGCCCAAAAACAGAAAAAAGCCACATGTGACTACTCTAATGGGGCAGTTTCTGACTTCACTAAACTTGTGCTTCTCCCACCTATGCTTTCTGGGTCTTTTTTTTTTTTTTTTTTTTTTCACAAAAAATTGCATAAGAGAAACAATAGTCACCGATTCAAAAGTTGTCTTTTTCGGATCAGCAGTGTATTTTTTTTTTTTTTAAAAAAAAAGGAAAAAAAGAGAGAGAGAGAGAAGACAAAAAAAAAAAGGAGGGGTTAAATTTTTTAGAAAACATTTGCATCTAAACCATTTACCATTAAGTTTATGGAAGCACTCCGACTTGGCCAAACACTGCAAATCGCCAGTGAAGCCTCAGTTAGATCAATGCAAAGAGAGGGCAGTACCACAACTGAGTTTAAGATCGTCTCCATAGCAAACCAAAGACTCATCCACGCTAATTCTTTATCAGATGCATTTCAAATTCTTAAAAGCAAATACAGAGATGATGCAATGGAGTCAGAAACTGCATGCAGCAGAGCAGTAACAGGAAAGGATGTGGTTAAACATCCTTTAGAAAAGTTTTGGTAACAAAGCATTTTAATACTAAAAAGAAAAATTAATTTCAATGCTTGTTCTTTGAAGTTTAGATGCATCTCTACAGTGTTTTCTGAAAAATACACCAACAAAGCTCCCTATTCACCAACTTGCATCTTCAGTACCAAAGTTCACAAGTAAGTGGAGACACTCCAGCAGCAAACCCTCACCGAAGCTTCATACGATGAAGTGCTTTCATTCCCTTATTTACACTGCAACATATCTTCCCCCAAAACGCATAGGAAAGGAACAAAACTCTCGGGGGGGTTGGGAGGGACCGCCGCGGTGCCCCTTCCTTCCCGCCACGGCCACTTACATCTGCAGCATGATCTTGTTGAGGAAGACGCCGTCCACCAGCTCCATGTACACGCCGAGCCGGTCCTCGCTCTCGCTCCCCAGGGGCCCAAACGTTTTCACCTGCCGGCAGAGGGGCGTTAGAGGCGCCTCGCGAGGCCGGGCTGCCGAGCGCCCCCCGCCCCTTGTCTCCCGCGGACGGCGGCGCCTCGTGCGTTAACGGCCGTTAACGGCCGCCAACGGCCGGCGCAGGTGCCGCGGCGCGGCCAGGCGGCCCCGGAGACGCTCGCAGCCCCCGGGGGCAGCTCGGGCCGTTCTCGGTCGCGGAGGGGAGCCCGGCTCTCCGCCGCTGCCCCCCGCTGCGGCCGCGGGCTCTCCCGACGGCTTCTCCTCAAGCACCAGCCCGGACCGGCGGCTGGTGCCGACCCCGCGCGGGGGCGGCCGCCTCCCTGCCCGCCGCCCCGCACTCACCCAGGTCACGAGCGGGCTCTGCAGGAAGAGCTCCAGCAGCTCCGAGATGGTCACGTCCATGCTGGCTGCCGGGGCGGCGGGGCGCGCGGGGCTCGCTCACTCGGGAGACAAAGGCGCGGGGCCCATGGCCCGCGGCGCCGGTGCCCGGGGCAGCTGCCTACCAGGGAAACAATGCGCAGCGCATGGCGCCCTCCTCCCCCCGCGCCCGCGGGCAGGGGCTGCGCGCCCGCCCGCCCGCCGCTTCCTCCTCCTCCGTCGAGCCCTCCCGCGGCAGCAACAGGGCCGCGCGGCCCCCGCCGGCTGCGGCTGCTGCGGGCGGCGCGTCCCGGTCCCCGCGCCCCGGCGTGAGCGTCGCTACCTGTGGCGAGCAGCGCCCGCGCCCCGGCAATTAGAGCGGGGCCGCGGCCGCCGCGTGACGGGCACCGCCCGCCGCGAATGGGAGGCGGGCAGGGCGGCGGCACTGGCCAATGGGGGCAGCGGGGGCGGGGTCTCCGCGGAGCCCTCGAGGAGCCGCCCGCGGCGGGTGGCGGCTCCGCGGGGCTGCGCGCGGCCCAGGCGGCGCCCGCGGCGGCGGAAGGTTCGAGAGGGCGCCGGGCGCGCGGCGCGAGACGGGCCGGGCCGGGCCCCGCGTCCCGAGCCGGGTCCCGCGGCCCGCCGCTGCTGAGGAGCGCGTCCCGGCCAGCACGGGAATCCCCGCCGCGCTCGAGCGGGCGACGCTCCAAACGGGCTGAAAAAACTGCTCTTTCGGCGTGAAAACGCGAAGGGGGAAAAGCGATAAAAAAAGTGCAAGGACTTGTTGAACTTTTTAAACGGTTAGAAAGACACGTGCATTTTTTAGACGAAATACAGAAAGGGGCAGTTCTGCCAGGGCTGCAGCTGCAAATAGGCACAGTTCAACAGGCGAGCCGTGAGGGATGGAATTGTTTTCCTTTGGGCAGAATCCATTCAACCTCTCTCCCAAACAGGAAAATGCCCCAGGGACACGGACGTGGCTGTTTCTGGATCGTGTCTGGGTGATGCCGGCACCCACGTGCAGATGCTCGTGCAGCGTAACTGTGTGACGAGGCTGAACCTGCAGCTACAGCGTCACACACGTAGGTGCGGTGTTCCTAGGTTGGTGTTTCATGGCTTGCTCTGTTTTTCATGTCTGCATCTCCTTTAACTCGGGTATTTAACTCAGGTCTTTCCATCAGCCACTTCTCAATTCATTCTGCCTATACCTACACTTTTGTTCAGTCACACTGAGCTCACAAAATGAATTTTGGGTAAGTCCAGGCCTACTATATGTGAAGTTCTATTTTATTATTAACCACATATTTGCAGCTGACAGACATTTCTAGCAGAAGAGGAAAAAGGAAAACGCTCCCCATGTTAGACAGTGCCGAGATGACCCGGAATGGATCATCTTTCCTCACCAGTCATTTCAAGGCTAGGGCAGCGAGGTGGAGGATAACTCCCTGTTTGCACGACCCTTGCTCATTCCCTCATTCCATCAGCCCTGGAGGGAAAACACGCATGGAGGCAAATGTCTGTGTTCTTATTAAAAATCAAGAGCAGCCCAAGCTTCAGTCTGTGTTTGGATCATTTTGTTATTGCATAGAAATAGCCCTAAATTACGCAGCGAACCAGGTCGCAAAGGCTGCTGGTGTGTTCCCTGCGTGTTCCCTAGGCTGCTGGAGAGGAATGTGCCAGGCGGCGAGGGGGGTTAAACTGCACCTCGCTGTGTCAATGCAGGAGTTACTGACCCCACGGAGACGGACGCGGCTGCGGCTGGAGGGAGCATCACGTATCCCGTGCGCCCCAACAACCCCTGCTCGGGAACGGGGAGAAAATTCAGTCGGGTTAATAATTTCTTAGCCCTTCAGCGGCCTGGACTATCAGCATGTAGCTTACTGAAACCTTGCAGGCTCCTGTTTTGTGAACAAATGTGTTGGTTAAATAAAATTTTAAAGCAGTTACCGCAGTACTGAAGATGAATGTGTGGTGAGCTGCTCACATCTAGTGGTTAATGAATAAGACAAAAGAAACCCTAATAATATTTTACAAATATACTGCTCTTTAGAGAAGACCATGTGCAAGAAGACAAATGCAAGAATATTTTTTCTACTTCGCCCAAACTGAATGCAACTCCTCTATAGGAGTGTGTCCTGAAATAAAGCAATATTTGGATAGTCAAGATTTTGGTGTTATCTCTTGTGGAATAACTGAAAGGGAGAATGCATTGCAGTTCAGAATTATAAAGAAACAAACTTCTTACCTGCTCAGGTCAAACTTTCTTTCTTTCTGGCCAACCTGAAAATGAATGTCAGATTGCTCTTAGTTGCAAAATTCTGCCAGCTCAAATTTTATTGAAGGTTATCATATATATTACAGAAAATATTTGTCCTCTCACAGTACCATACTCCATAGATTAAATTCTGGCTTACTTGGTCAATAACTAAGCTCAAACATAGACGAAATCCAAGCTTGCTTGGTTAATAACTAAACTCAAGTTAAATGGGGTCAGGGTTTCGCCGCCTTTCTCTGCCTCCATGGTTAGGGATGGGCTCCATCTCCTGGAAGCCACAGGCAGCGCAAACGGCCTCCCTGGACCTGCCAGGTGCTCTTAACCCAGCAGCAGGACAAACGCAGGTAAAGCAAAGGGAATTGATTTTGAAAAATACTTGCATTCCAAATTGTGATGTTAAAGTGAGGGTCATGCTGGACAACACAGTTTTCCTTGCTTTCAAAGACAGTACAGCTATATATATATATATATGATATATGAAACGCCGAACACACATAGCAAGGGAGAACTGAATGGCCATGAGAGTTTACAGTTCTCAGCTGGAAAGTAAAGAGCGAAAGGGCTCCTGGAGACACGCTTAGAAACTCTGAATCATGACTGAACCTTCTCTAGTTCCCAACTGTAACTGCTCCCTGGAGCGGGTCTCCTAGGGGCGCCGGTGGCAACCGGATTCAACTCCTCTTGGGAGTCCAGGTAAAAGGCCCTAGTGCTCTCAGGAGCCACAAGACCAAGCACAGCCCCAGAAAACTGGAAAATTCAGCAGACTGCCTTGGCCATAAAACATCCCCTTGTTATTAGGTCCCAAATCCCAACATATTTTCTCATCTCAGTAAGTCTGTGTCATATCTGTCATCTCCACCTGTGGCTGTACTGCTTTCATCCATGTTTTATTCATCCTGTAACTCTGCATTTACAGTATAAACACTTTTTTACTTACCTTATGTTTCACTGAAAATCTCTTAATACTTAACTTAGGTATTATGTGCAGCCAAGAGGTCACCTCTGGTAGTAGATGAAGCTGCTGCCTTCAGAAAAGAAACAAACGAAATGCCTTTGAATACATGGGAGAAAGTTCGGATCCAGGTATGTGCAACTATATTTGGAACTGCTTATAGTAAAATGAGGAGGAGAATATCTGTACATTTTTATTATTTGTTTTTTAAGTGATTTTTGACAACTACTATTCATCCCCTGCCATTTGCACACAGTCAGCTTTTAATTAAAAATGAAATTATCATAGAAGTGAGAAGCACCAGAGCAAAATTTTAAAATGCCTGTAAGAAAACAGTCAAATAAGGCCGTGAACATTGTGCCCGTCTGTGCTTCGTGCTGCACTGGTGCGCTCCTCACGGCACAAAGGAGCTCGGGGACCGGCGCGTCCCCTGGCGCTGCTGCGGGTCCCTGGGCCTGGCCTAGGCCTGGCAACCGCTGCAGCCGCTGTCCAGATCCACATCCCGGTGCCCTCGGAGGGATGGCAGTCACGGCATTGACAAGGCCTCGACACCGCAGTTCAACTCACAGGGAGCAGAAAAGCGCCTTGCTGTCCCTCTGCTCTCCCTCTGCTCGGGACTGTCATTAAGGAGCTTTCCTGTAACTGTGACTCTGCTGTTTGTCAAGCAGCTTCTCAGCTGCGATGCAGGTTGCGTTCAGTGCCTCTGTAGCTGTCAGCACTGGTGCCAGGGGAAGAAAAAGAGGCTGTGCAGAAGAGAGCTTTGCTCCTTACAGCATCTGATTCTGAAACACTCCCTTCAGTATTTTGCATTTTGTTCGGTAAAGAAGACATAAGAGAAATCTGAATAAGAAGCAGAGCAATATGGCTTAGCAAAATGTATAGAAACATAAAAACATAGATAATGTTGTCTCTGTGCCTTTGAATAGTCTTAATTGGAATGAGGGGTTAACTGAGTTTCTGGAAAGGAGTGTGATTGTGATGGGTATCTGGAACAAAGCATTCAAAAGGCCCCCAGAAAGCTCAGCATTAACCTTTGAGATAGTATGTCAAGCAAAGTCTCCCCTTTGTTCAGTGCCGAAACTGAGGCAAACTGCACAGCTTTCCTACAAGATTAACATAATACAGAATCAAAAATGCTAGGGAAAAAAGACTTTGGGAAGAATCTCCCATAAACATCTGAGGCCATAGAAAATAGAGACAAATATAAAAGGCAATCTGCAAAAATAGTACTGAGCAAAAGATAAGGGACAAGATGAACAGTAGTAATTTATACTCCTTTGCAAGACCTTGAAAGTAACAGGAGGAGTCACATCCAAGACAAAGACAGAGGTGAGGGCTCCAGCTCCCTGGCTTGAACTTTCAGGGGAGCCAAAACAGCGGGTGACAGTTAGAGAGGTTGGTAGTGGTGAGCTGGAGAGGTGACCTAGTGTGCAGGGTGTGTGACCCAGACACCCAGCAAACTGTGGAAAGTGACATTTGTGGCAGCAGCAGAAGGGGAGAATGGGTTTTAAATGCATACCATTTCTATGTTTTAAATGCATAACTTTAAATGCATAAGAACGTGACTGAGGGATAAAAGTTTAATATTTTTAAAAAGTCAGTGTGATCAGAAACTGACTTTAAATCATGTAAGTCTGACAAACACCTTTTAGAAGTAAGATTATTTTTCAACCTTGAGTGCGTGAAAGAATCATTACTTCTGCTACATCACCTGCATTTCACAGGTCTGGTAGTCACTTTAAAACTCCCTGCAGAGCGTGTGTGTGCTCCAGTCTGGTGAGACTGCTGTCCAAAGGAAAGCCCTTCCTGGCCCCTCGTTCACAGAGCCACACGCAAGACCTGCTGGCAGGTTAGCAGTCAGTGTCCCTCCGTTTCCTCACTTCTTGATGTGAGCGTAGCTGAGGCATCCAAAAAGCACGGACACATCAGACAAGATATCTGCAGTCATTACAGCTTGTAAAACATATCTGAACAGCTTCATCCGTGGTATGATAAAGACTTACCTCACACTTAAATCCACATCAACTGATACAGGTAGGATGTGAGAGAGATAGAAGCAGGCTGTTGTTTATCAAGTAGGTATATTACATAATTATTAGAAGGAACTCGTTGTCAGAAATACCAGTTTTCAGACACTGCCACCCTCCTGACATAGACGTCATCATGAAGAGAGATTTACAAGAGTATTGATGGTTAACATTACTTTTGAATACCTGTTAATTAATATTCACTGTTTTATATACCCATTTCTTCTCAAGATCCCATGATTTTTTTCAGAGAAGTATTTCATTTTCAAGCGTGTCATGCATATCAAAGTGAAAATCGCTGGACAAGACCGTAACTACCCCCGGAATCACCTCCTTTCTGACTACTCCCAACTGACCGCAAGTGCAGATCTGTCTTGTCAGGCCTCAAGTGTTAGAAAGGCAACTTACGTCTAACTACAGGTGAGACATTAACAGAAGTGCAGCTTAATATTTTACCAGTCTTTCAGATCTTTGTAAAAAAAAATGAAAATATTTCTTCTTCATTTAATCAAAATCCAATGGTGTAAGGATGGTATTTACTCTGTTAAATGCAACGATGAAAGATCCCTACAAACATTAATTACGGAAGTACCTGAGACCTAACAGATTGAAGTATCAATAATGACCAGATGGAGCACCATAAAGCTTAAGGAACATACACGCTTGCATATGCACACACACACATAGTGTAATAAAACAGTAATAAAAAAATATTCCCATCAAATACTACTTGGAAGAACCGCATGTGATGTAAATTAGAAGTCATGAAGAAAGCTGCAAAAACAAAATTTGGGGGCTTTGTGCACACGTCTGACAGATGCAAAGGATTTAAATTCAAACTAATCAAAAAATCCTGTAAAATTATAGTTCTCCTTCCTTACTACTGCTCTGATACCACAGCTGCAATAATGAAGTTCCAGGCAGGTCACTCAGATAGCATGGGGACAGCTTACACAGCCACAGAAGACTGAACCTAGACTTTTCTTGACCAGTTGCTCAACTCTTTAACATTTCTTGCTTGGAAATACCCTGTCACAGACACTCCCAATACACTGCAAAAACTTAACCTTATCAAGTCATTTCACATCAACTTTCTAAGGAGAAAATGGCTGATTATTTGTCCCCAATATGTATTCTCATTTAAATATGGAATTATTCATGTATGTATTATTTAAAATTTTGATCACAAAGGTTCTGACATCGGCAGTTACCACAAAATCTGCCATGCAAAACACCAACGTCACCAACAAAACGTTTATGCTTGTGTGTGGTCACCTGTGACATAGTCCTGGACTCTCCCTTATCTTATTTCTGTTCTCCCTTCTGTTAAGTGGTTGTTGCAACTTTGGGGGTTTTAATGTCCAAGAGGGAGTCAATTCCTGAAAACAGATGCAAGAAGCTCTTGCAACTGCTGAGGAAATCTCTACTCTTATGAAGTACTGTTCTCTAAGCCAAGTCATCTGAAAAGCAGTAAGGAAGCAGCATGTAATATTT